ATATATATATATATATATATATATATATATATATATATATATATATATATATATATATATATATATATATATATATATATATATATAAATACAATCTGTTTCATCCGTATAGGAATCATCAGGTGGTGAGTAATTTCGAAAATATAGGTTGGTTTTATGCTATCGAAAGAATGCGCGGAATGCGTGTAGGCGAAACAATGCTTAGGTGAAACAATTAATGCTTAGGCGAAACAGTGCTTAGGCGAAACAATGCTTGGGTCATTAAATTTTGTTAACGATTTTGTTTACTCGAAACCGGTTTTTGTGACTACCTTTATTATACTAAACGTTAACTAAAAGAAACTAAACATTAAATATTTTCAGCCGCTTGTCACAGCCTCCCTCAGAATGAGGTAGTCAGATAATGTGTACACTATTTATACAACAATTTTTGCATAACTAATATAATACATGCCTGACTAATTAAGGAACGCTCTTGTTGGACAAAATCATGCGTGGAGTTAATACCCCTTAGATTAGTAATTAAACTTGCAATCCAAAATTCTCACACTCCCTCAATTTGTCCAGACGTCGAGTGAGTGATCATGTGCAGCGTGACAATCAAGGAAGTGATTAACAATACTACATGTTCTTTTATTATGCTTTATATGAGACTTATAATTGGCAAGTCGAGTCTTAAAATTAACAGTAGAACCCACTCCTTGCAAATTACAAGCCAACCTCGTACCCAGGGCATTTTGCTTCCGGCCACACAGCATGCAAGATATTAAACAACATGACTAGTAGTACAAGTAAGGGGTTTACTAATCTGAAATACTCTCCTAGTAGCTATCGATGAAAAGGAAGTACCTTCCTCCTACAACAACCACATTACCACACCGTTTAGCGTGACACTTAAAACACCCTAGTGGCCTACTAGTTCGAGATCGATCTTTATACTGGTCAGAAGGAGTTAAAGTTCCTCTAAGTTGGCATTACATTTCTATGCAACCGGAACACAAATAGATCCTTCTGGTAAAACTTCAATAGCCTTTTCATCATCGCAAATCACTTCCTTATGATATTTCTTTAAAATCTTACGGATGTCAGGTCCTCTGGGATTATACTTACCCGAAAAAATGCACAAATTTATATTAAATCGTTTTTTGCTTCAACGTGCTTCCTGCCTAGTCATAGATGCAACTTCCGCAAATTTATTCCGAATTACATGCTGCTCATCATGCTTGATACGCAAGCTATCACTAATAATTAGCATATTCCTCACTCTCAATTAATACAGAAATCCACCTCTTCCGAACATATCCTACGAATCCTTAAAGCTACCCCCTTAGCTATTCCCAATATCTGCGATTTAGGATGACACGATTCTGCGTGTAACTACAGATGCGCATCAGTGGGTTTACTGTACACTGATGTGACTAATGAATAGACCTTTCCCTTTAAAGCGATGCCCGCTAAGCATAACGGTAGGAGGCTGTAGGTTGCTTTCGAACGAAATGGCGGCTGTAAGAGTGAAAGATTTTCTTTTGACGATACAATGACGGATTTTAACAACTGTTAACAAAATTATTACCCTTATCTTGCATCTTGGTCTTCCACTGATACTGATCGAAACTCAGTTAATGCTTTCCTTTCTTCTGAAGTTAGATTATCTTCAATATCCTTATATTTTGTTTGTTCAAATAAATCTTTTTCCACTTTATTCAAAAATACTTCAATAGCTGGTATACGAGCAGTCGGTGGATCTTTTTTAAATTTTTGATAGGGCGCGTCTTAAACCGCTATCTTCTCCTTCTGTAGATTGTTTAGAATGAAAAATTGCTCGCCATCTGACCTTTTTAAAGGCTCTCTCGCGTGATAAATATTTACAATTCACTATGGACATGGGTGTGAAGTCGTTTGGATTTACTCATTACCATCAAAGGAAACCAAGTTCCAGCAATTAGAGAGGTCCGTGTACAGCAGACCATGCAGTAACCGCAAAGTAAGTTCTAGAAGTTTCCGAAGGTTTCGATAGGTTTTTAGTCTCAATTCATTCTTCAATTTAAATGCACAAATTGTCCTAACTTCGAACAGCTAACAGTTGAGCTCAAAAGACGACTTGAAGCATAGGCACTGAATTAATAAATTCACGACTGAATTAATAAATTTAAATGCAGTGAAATTATAAAATATACAAAAATAGTCACAAATTATAGCGAAATATATAATATAAAAGTGTGAACGGGACTTAAAGTCCCATGGGAGGCACTACAAACTATAAACGTGTACATTGCTATGTGTAGGCTGTGGCTTATATTAACTCGCCACCCGATTGCACTATCGGCCAACTGACGTATATAGTTATAAAGTATAGGGAGTTTATTAAGCTTCACGTTTGCGGGAACGGCAAACGGGCATGGCCGAATTTTCTTGGCATAATTTTCGTTCGATTTCTGCATGCCATATTTTCTTTCATGTGACACAGGAATAGTTAAGCATTCTAGTTATAAAATAGCCTGCATGGCAGGCGGTACTTAGGAAAACTGGGTGTGAATGAACTACCGCCCCTGAAGCATCAAAGCTATTTATAGATGTCATTAAGTAAATATTCAAAATTAGCCACTCCCAAGTTGCTACATAAAATATTAAATTCCTTGATTATCATCACCGCCCGACTGAATTTTAAAATCCTCGTGAAATGTTTTATATTTCGTTATACAATATAAATGTACCGCCCGACAAAATAATTCAAGACAGTTAATTTTTTTATATTTTATATAGGGTTTTTAGTGCCAATTTAAACTTCCAATTTCAAACAAACAGAATTTTGAATGAAATTTCATTGTATTTTAAAGAAACTCAGTCATTCTGTCATTGACATTGTTCGTGGAGATACGAACTATTGATATATAAATTATGAATATAAAATATAAAAAATAAATCTCCCACTGTCTTCGACATTTCAAAGTGTAGACTGTGTCTAGTGATGAGAATCAAGGAATTTATTTTATGTGTTAATATAAACCAAGCCGCCCGTTTAGCTGCCTTAAAATGGTGGTTTAATAAGCTCAAAATGCAAAGCATGCAAGTATATACTATAGATTCATCATCAGTCAACAACCAAACTGAAAGTTTTGAACCTTATAGAACGATAGTTTTTATTTGTTTACAACTATACATATTCAACGGGTATATAAGAGTTTAACTGTTATTTAATAATTACTGCATCAACCGGCCCATACCCCTAGTATCTTTGGTTCAGAACATGATAGGCCTATATGAAAATCCCACCGTTCGATTCAGTGAAGAAATATCTCCTAATTTCTATCGATAGTTTTAGTAAAATGTCAACTCGTGACATTATTGCGATTTATGGCCTTTGAAAGTCAAGCGAGATCGTATATTATCAAATTAATATACGCATGTATTTGTCTGATAGAAAATATAGACTAGACCATACCTTTCGCCGATCATAACTTCGGCCCCTTCGGACGTATCTTCTTTGTTAAATATTCTTGTTCGAATCGCTATCAAAAACACTATTTAGAGTGTTATTTTTCAGCTTGTATCTTTAAATTTGCTTCTTTTATTATGGTATTCCATTTCTGCTAGTGATGGGCGATACCGAGTACTCGGTATTCGATACCAGCGATACCACAAACAGCGGTATCGGTATCGATTACTGAGTGGTATCGTTCGATACTTGCACCCTTTTTTAAACGACTTGTTTAATTTCACTTCTTGGTTGAATAAGATTTAATGAACCACTAAAATAACTCTTAATATTCCAAGTGTGGTGCGCCAAGTCATGTTTAAAAAATATTTATTACGTTTCGAGCTTTTGGTTTACTTATTAGCTTTTTATTAGCTTTATTTAGGTTACATACAGTAATGTAAAATGGTTTTCCGTTAACCAGCAGGTATCGAAAGTGGCCGATACCACAAAAGAGAGAAGGGCAGAAGCTTCACTCGAGTCGGAACCTTTGAAGTTTTTGTGCCGGCACATGCTACTTCCGGATCCTGGCCGCCATGTTGAAAGCAACCAACTCTGGTCCAAAACATTATAAACCAATATGGCGAAACTTGTATTTCATAACTTTAAATGGGTATATCGTCGTTATTTTATGGTGGATGTCATTGAAATTTTCAGGACGTACAAAAGAAAGGTAGATTATTCATTTTATTATAATAAAAGCTTATTGAATGATGCTAAAATTGTCATTTTAAACGCAGCAAACTGTATGTGCTGTTTTGGCACCGATGGATATATACGCATTTATATGTTGTTTTTCTGAGTGTAGTTTGAAACTATTGCAACTACTATTCCACTTAACTTGAAGAAAAATGCGTCATGTCTTGTTTTTAGAACGCAGTAGGTTGAATTTTTTTAATTTTAGGCGCATATTATACTGTGAATATCCTTATAATTCGTACTACTATTCGTATTAAATTATATACCTGATCAGTGAAAGGGGATGTGATGTCTTTGTATTGGGCTTCTTTTCTTAATTAACAAAAACGTTTTTGGACTAAACTAAGTAAACTGCGCGAGTAGAATCCATTTTCACCAGAACTGGTTTATAATTTGTAACTTTGATATTAAACTTTGATTGCTGGTAACAGTAATGAGTACGATATTTGTTCACATCTGTATCAAGCAATTGATGGTGGAGCAGACTAACTTGCCAGAAGTTACAGTTCATGACCCAAAATTGCAACACACCAATCTCATGTAGATTTACTCAGCAAGCACCATCTTAATTAATGATTTCACCTGTTATCAATTACCATCGGCATTGTTAGGTTTACCATCTTAGTGAAGGAGCGAGACTAATTAAGCTCCAAAATAATAAAATATTGCACATTCAAACTGTGTAGCTCAGTCTGGAATGCATTGGTCTTGTAAACCAGGGGTTGTGGGCTGCATTCTTACTGTGGTAAAGTTGATTTTTCAGCTTGCCTGGTATAAATTTACTCAGTGTAGCAACATATTAGTAATTTCTCCTGTGTATGATTACCATCAATATTAGATTTAACACCAGCCTTGTATCTTACAGTTCAGTTCTTATGTACTTGGTGTAAAAGATGTTCAGTTCTTATAAACTTGTAGAAGTTATATTGATTAATTGTTTTGGCAACACAGCATATTGTCCAGTGCACATGGTTAAAGATGCACTACCTTCAAATATTTTCTGTTCTTCTTTTTAGTGTTGGAAAGTTCACGATTGGCAAATTTCAAGCTGTAGTAAATGCACAACCTCAAAAACAATTAAGAAAGCAATTTGTTGGAACATGAAGAAAGCAGAAAGCAATTTGTTGGAACATGAAGAAATCAATTTGTTGGAACATGAAGAACCCAGAAAGCAATTTGTTGGAACATGAAGACCTTCAAATATGTTTTCTGTTTGATCAAAGGCCTTAATGAAACAAAACTGCTTCCTGTTATCATCTAGGTCATTACATTGGATGGCATTTGTGCATGTAGGACAGTTGCAGATCGTAATAGATTTATGGACCTAAACTCAAATTTATGGAACTAAATTATATGGATTTATGGAACTAAAATCAAATTAAATATGGATTGATAATATGGATAAAAAATATGGATTTATGGAACTAAAATCAAATCAAAGTGTTGTTTACATTTTTGGGGTTGTACAACTTGTACATAGTAGAATACACTAGATGTTAAAGTTTCATTTACTTGGTTCCCTTTGTAAAAGCAACACTACAACTTACATGCACCAACATCCGGTTTGTTGCAAGTTGAAACCAATTTTATTGCCTGATATATTTTACTCTGCCAACAAGTCTTAATAACTAAGGGGCTATTTACATGAGCCCGACTAGTCCTGTTAACTGAGGCACCCAGCTTAATACAAATCATTTAACAAGAATCTGCCTAGCCGAGATCTCACTTGAGTCAAAGAGGATGCCCGGATAACCGGGCTGAAATTTCTCCATGTAAAGTCACCAGCTCAGGTAACCTCCTGGCTAGCCAGGCCTTCAGCCTGGTTAACTGGGCCAGCCTGCATGGCTAGCCGGGCTCATGTAAACAGCCCCTAAGGTGATAGCAACAATAATGTACTTGGTGCTAAATGTAACATAAACTTGAGTAACAGAGAAAATTCTCATATTCAGATTATTTTCCCCTCATTGTAGAGTAAACTGTTAATATGTATCTTAAAAACTAGAGTGTGTATTAGAATCTGACAGATTTATAATTAAACTGTTGTTAAGATAAATCAGGTCTTTTATTGTCTGTTTTGTAAATGAAGTTCCCTGATTCATCCAAGCATTGATCTTTAAACTATTTTTCCAATATCAATGAACAGTCATGATAATGTCATAGGAGGCCTTGTCACTTGTGATACCAAATTTGTAAAGTCACAGCCAAAGGATTTCAATAGGTTCAAGTCAATATATTATCTCTAAAATTCATTTTTGAAGAAGAAGTAGGTCCAGCAATTTCTTTCATATCGCAATATTATTTTATATTGAACGATTGTAGGCCAATATGCCAAGTTGAATTACACTGTTTGAATAGTTGATCACAGATTCACAGAAGGTTCGATGAACTCGATTTATTTCCTTCATTGTTCATGGTATTCACGTCCTTAATCCTTTTGTACACCATGAAATATCACCAACCTATCACTCAAAACATATTTACGGCGATCGGACTAACCACACATAAGCTATATAACTTTATATGTTTATCACCATTCGCCAAAGACCAAGGTGAAATTAATCGATGTATGACAATGGCCAAATTCCACGCTTAAATTCGTTTGTCATCCTCATGGTGACAATTAAATCAAAGAACAACCTCTTCTTTATGATATTTCAAAGTATCATGAGTTTTGCTTGGATACATAAAAAGCTAGAGCACTTTTAGTGGCTCTATTTCGCATTCCGCCATATTAACTCCTATAAAATTTCCTCTGGTTTGGTTGCTTTCAACATGGCGGCCACGCCGGAAGTCGGCTGACATTCTGGCACACTTTTTACCCTTGAGTGAACCTTCTGCTCTATATCTATTCTGTGCCCGCCATTTTTTATAATCAGTTCGTGATTTCGAAGTTACAATATTTCGCTCGATATTTCGAGCCGATGAAGCCTTATTAACCGTGAATAAACGAAGATGAAAGATCAGGGATGATTGAGTAATATCCAGGTAAGAATCTTGTTATGTTTTATGTATAATAGAGCAATTTTGAAAGGAAATATTTGCTATCTTCATTCGTGAATTTTGAGAATGCACGTGTTTGATGACCTTTGATGTTTCGGCTTAAAATTTGAATTTGCCGAGCCGATGAAGCCTTAATAAGCGAAGATGAAACATCAGGGATGACAGAGTAATATCCAGCTAAGAATCTTATTATGTTTTATGTATAATAGAGCAATTTTGAAAGGAAATATTTTCTACTTCAATCTTCGTTCCTGAATTTTGAGAATGCACGTGCTTGATGTTTCGGCTTAAAATTTGAATTTGCCGCGACAATATTTAAAACGATGATATAAAACGTTAGTTTAATTCAAAGCTTACATTTGACTCCTGAAGTCCTTATATTAAATTATGTTTATTGTATTAACTAATGCCAAATAGTTAATAGTTGTGTATTGCCAGATTCCAGTGGCAGTGGCAGTGTTTCTTGTATCAAAATTAATATATTATAGCTTGGCATCTACTCAAGTTTCAATCCTCAATTCTTTATATGCTTATAAATACCTAGGCATATCCCAGCTAAATGTGCATGTCTCAGTTACATAATAGTCATAGAATAAAAGTTATTCTGAATAAGGAGTGCGTTATATAGTAATTAACACACAATTTATGAAAACTGTATGTTTTGAATCAAATATGATTCACCTTCAGCAGTGTTTCACAAGATATGTCGTTATATTTGCAAGACATGCCGTTATATTATTTTCTACTTATATCTATCTAGTATATTTGCTGAAATTATCAGCCGGGAAAGGATGTCTCATGCACTTTACCATTATAGCACTTATATACCCTACTTTAATTTTTTTTTCACTCTCAGTCTAACACCAGGTGTTGGTTGCATCAAAGCTGGATTCTTTCAGTTCTGTTTGATTTTACCATGTCTAACATCTGAGGGTAATAGTACAATGTATTAGGATATCAATGGAATGGGGTATAGAGGGTTAATTTCAATTTCCTTTGTATGTCATGCTTAAGTTTTTAATGCCGGGTGGGTCGGTTAATAGGTAAAATGTTAATTTGATCAATTTTTTGTGTGGCAACTTGATTATGGAAGTGCCCTAACTGGAAACAGTCAAAGTCCTTTGTTTGCTTGTTCAAAGTTTATAATATATGAATACATTTATCTATACCACCTGCATGATCTGCTTAATAATATATGTAACAACCTTTGGGCTACATTTTATATATCTTTAGACACAACCCGGCAAGTCACGACAATGGTGAAATTACCCATTTCACTCCGAAGTGCCCAATTTTCAGCAGTTTGTTAATATTTAAATGTTTCTGTATCTTGCCTAATGTTGGACAATTTTATTTGCCAAGGAAAGTATCCAGCTAGACTCATGATATTTCATACCCATGATGTTTCATGTTGACATATTTAGATGTAATTTTCCTTAAACACTCCCTACTTTAAGTTCTGCACACAATATTTAACTGTGTGGTCTCAAGCTAGACAATTTTAAGGGGGGCGGCTGCCCCTTCTGCCCCCCCCCAGTTCCGGTGTCCCTGTAAACAATGCCATTGATTTGACACTGCTTAACCTGCCCCATTCACCCCTGCCGCTGTTAGACTGTCACAACCTAGCATTGACAGCTAATTCAATTCAAATTCAAAAGTCTTTTTAGTAGATCAAAAGATAAAAATACATATCTTATGTTACAAGTACATATTAAGAATACATTAGTAAAGTTTACATCATATGAATAGGTTATAGTTAAAAATTAATCTATTTGCAAACGACAATTTAAAACGTTCCGTGTTCACTCTTGGATACTGACTAAACTCTGTCCTCAAAGAGTAGCTTGTGGATTTTTTTTCTTGGTATCAAGTCGACTATGGCACTCTTCTGATTTACAGAAGCCTTAAAAATATTTTTGTCTTGTATTTCTAAAAGATATCTAATATTTACAGGTTCTGATATATACTTTCGCTTAAAGTGCCCGTAACCCCAAAATTGATTTTCGGCTTATTAAAAATATGCTATGAGTGTAGTAGTTTCGCGAAAAAATTTTTGCTTTTGGTTAAAAAGCAAAAATTTTAGAGCCACTTGAACCTGCTTATATTGCGATTTTCTTGGCACATGGACGTCGGAATATTTAACTGCTTGAAGTCTGGAACGAGCATTATTTGTGACGTCACGCAAGTTAGTTGTGGTTTCAGCAGGAGCGCGTTTGTATCATATTGTTATGTAATTTTTAGTGAGGGCGCTTGATTTCAGTATAACAAGACGCTGGAAATATCAACTTTAAAAAATCCGCGTTGTACAAATATATCAAGAAGAGCGTGCTTGCTTGTTCGAAAATATTGATCCTTGAAGTTTACAGTTTGCCTGGCAGTTTGCTTAACAATAACAACTATCGTATTAAATTGCAACGGAACTATAAAATTGGCATGGTACTGATCGTGTCTGTGTAATAGCGCGTTTGTTTTGTTGAAAATCATGATTTTCCAAGCTTACCGTTTGCGCTAATAGTCGTTGCATGATATATTTATGTTCTGTTATGTAAATGTATGTTCTAAAACGCATTCCCTATATTATTTGCATTGGAATCGTAAATTTTGTGTCACTATACTGCCATTTGATATGTGCTTGAGATCTGCGAGTACAAAGTATTCGTTGCCCACTCTAACTCTAAGAAATATATGCGCACTTCACAAGAACACTTTCCCGTTAAAACACAATACTTTCATCGTGAAATGACTAAAATACTACCGGTTTTCATCTAGTGATCTGAACTTTGTGTTTGGAAAATATAGGCGAGGGGTCGTTGCAGGTGACCGAATAGCGCACCAAAATTGTAAGATAGTGTAAATTGTCTTAGTGTCATATGATCGGTATGTGGCAATAAAATATTGCTGCAGAGACAACTTAAAAGCATAACACAACATAGTTTATCCTTGGTGGATCCATCAGCGTAGTATAAAAACCGTGGCAAAGTTTCATAAACCTGTGAAAATGCTCACTAAAAATGATCGTAAAATATAGAGAAGCTGCAGTTACTATGAGTTTAGTACGCGTATGACAACAATTGCAAGTGTATCAAAAATCATGTAACCCGGCCTAGTTTGAACATAACATACTGTAAATTGTAATATATATTCCTGAAATACGACGATAATAACTTCGAAAGATTTACCATATCACCATGATGATTTTCAGTTCAAAGTTTTAATGGCAAGAGTCGTGTGTTTACTTATTTAGTGGTGATATTCAGTAACTCGCGTGACGTCAGAAATTGTGCTAGACCCAGTTTCCCGTACACGACGTCCATTGACCAAGCAATCCATAATTCAAGTGGCTCTAAAATGTTTGCTTTTCAACCAAACGCAAAAATTTTTTCGCAATACTGTTCCACTGGTAGCATACTTTTAACAAGCTGAAAATCAATTTTGGGGTTACGGGCACTTTAAAACATCTGTCAAAAAACCGTTGTAGAGTATTGAGTTCGGCTGGAGAAGAACCGTAGACGGACATGCCAAACGTTATAGTAGATATTACTAGGGTCTTAAATAGATAATCTATCTCACATTGGCTATAGCCTTCTGCCCTGAGTGTTCGTATAACGTACAAGCATTTGTTTGCTTTGACCAATTTACCTCGCACATGACTGGTGAACTTGAGAGTGTCTTGAAAAGTAGTACCTAAAATGGGAAGTTCTTTGCATTGGGGTATATTATAAACATTGTCAAGTTGATCATTATATCCCTTCTTCCGGATGATAAACTCTTTACATTTACCAGGGTTACAAGTCATAAAATTATCATCAGACCAGTTCAGGAATTGTCCAACTGTATCTGTTGATGTATCAGGACCCTCACTCCAAACTGGCACTATTATATTTGAATCGTCCGCATATTTAAAAAGAGCGTTCTCGCCGTCTATGTCCACCTCTAAATCATTTAGGAAAATATTAAAAAGGTAGGGGCCACTTACGCTCCCCTGTGTTGTACCCTTATTAACATCCATCCATTCTCCACAAAAATCGTTACAAAATCTATTCTTTAGAAAATTTAAATACCAATTTATGATATAAGGGTTGAGGACTCTTTGCTTTCTATTCTTTAGAAAATTTAAATACCAATTTATGATATAAGGGTTGAGTGGCACAGTTTTTAACTTTTCCGAGAGGAGTGAATGTTTCACTGAGTCGAAAACCTTGCTAAAATCCATAGAAAACAGTCTAACTGCTTTGCAGTTCGCTTTATCTAAGAAGTTGAGTACTTTGTTCTGAATAGTCAACAGAGCGTTTGTACAACTTCCCCCTGCCTGTACGCAAATTGCGTTGGGGATAAAATTTCCTCAACTATCGACTTGACCTGACTATTATAAACGAGCTTTTCGAAGGTCCTCGCAATTACAGGTGTAATATTTATTCCACGAAAGTCACCATCTTCCTTTGGTAAATCAACCTTTGTAAGAGGGTTAATATTCGCTCTTTTCCATGAATCTGGCCAAGTATGTGATGAAAGGGACAAATTCCAGACGTTAGTTATAACTTCGGTTAGAATTTCCGCATGATCATTCCAAACCCAATAGGGAATATAATGGGGACCTGTTGCTGTCCTCTTTATTCTTTTCAAGGCATTCCATACCTGCTGTTCCGTAAAGCTAGGAATATCTACTTCATCACCAATAATTGAGAGCGTCGGTTCGACATAACTATCATCGTGGCAGAGTTCGCCAAAGTAGCGATTTAATCTTGTAAGTGATGCATTATCTAAAGTAACTCTTGATGACGATGCATTTCGCTGAGAAATATTAATATCATTCGTCTTTCTCCACCAAGTTCTACTTCCCACCAAGGCCCTAAAATTTCTTCTGTTTTGACAAATGACATCAGAAATCCTTTTGTTAATTAAACTGAGTCTATCCTTTTGCGACCGAGCAATTCTGGATTTAGATTTTATCAAAGATTTAATTAAAGGACTCATCCAGTAAGGGTCACGTGACGAAATTGAGACTGTTTTTGTGGGCATACATTTATTCATATGATCCATGATCTTACGTTCAAGACAATTCACAGCGTCATTTACATTTGTGGACTGCGATACATCCTCCCAATCTTCTTCTGCTAAAGCTTTGTGGAAATCTTCCTTTCGATGCTTTCTACAATCCCGAAATTCAACCTTTCAGCGCATAGGTTTTAGTTTCGTCCCTGCTGGTAAAATAACCCCCATGTGGTCTGTTTTAGTTAACATGTGGAAAGGATAACATTTTGAGAACAAATCTATTCTATTTGTAAGGCAGTTATCCAAACATGCGTTACCCCTTGTTGAAAAGTCGACCATTGTATCCCATCCTGATAGTTCCTCAAGGTGTTTTATGTCCAAACTGTTCAAATCCCCTCCACAAACAATTACAGTGTCTGGATATTTGTCCAGAACGTCGTCAGAAATATTTATCAAATAATCCAATAAGTCACTCTCCAGATAATTGTGCCTAGGTGGGTGATAAAGGCCGTATATCGACATACGGTTTCCTGTAGGTAACAGAAGTGTGACACCAATAAGTTCGTACAAACTGGATCGATAAATATCAATAACTTTTAAGTTGTTCCGAACATATATTGCTACCCCTCCTTTTGCTCTCATATCGCGTCCTTCCCAACTTCTATCTCTTATAAATATTGAATAATTGTGAATGGTCACCACAGCATCTGGCATTTCAGGTTTCAGGTGACTCTCGCTCACCACACATACATCTATATCGTTATTGACCAAGTCTGCCTCCAGTGCAACTACAGCTCGTACTCGATTTTTTGTTTTTGCCAGACTACATATGTTGATAAACATAAACTTAGGAATAAACTTTGGCTTGGGAATAAGTATGAAAGAAACAAATTATTTAATATCTTCACAACATTTACCACTCAGAATTAATACATTGTGTCAGACTTATTTCCGAGTCATAACTGAACTGAAGGCCATCGGACATATGTCCAACCCAAACTCAACGTCATCGGACATTTTGTCAGACGGCCTTGTAAAAGATATTTTAAGGCCTGGCTTTGCTACGTCCCTGATGGTTGTATTCGAAACCGATTTCAGTTTTAAGATATCCTTAGTCTGCTCCTCTAAATGGATCCATCAAATCAGCTATAGCTTATTTTAAATTTTTTTGCGCCAGGTTTGTGAAGTAATTTACGCGCCAAAAAGCAAAAAAGCATATACAATTTGCAAGAATGATATGTTCCATGTTTATGGGATATTTCGTACAAACGGGATGGAAATTAAAGAAATTGAAGCATACTGGCACTTTTGCATGCATTTTTGACAGGCATGCAAACACATTTGCAACAGATGCCGGGAGATACGTTGGGTGGGGGCAACATACTGTAAGGTTCCAGCACATTACCCTGATCCAGGAAATCCTGGCCACTACATGAACGTGTTCAAGACTCTGAATACGCTGAATGATGGACAACAACAACCTGTTGATAATTCCACCCCTAGAGCCAATTTAAAATGTTTTAAAGACGGTGCCATTTCATCTGGCGCTGGTGAGATGAAAGAAGCAGCAGATCGGTAGTTTTGTTGAGGAGAAGCACTTGAGTATATCAGACATCTTGAGGAACTGCAAATTGCATCTATGATAAGAGAGAATTCCGGATTGTACTCCTTCGATTCCGAATTCTAGAGGGGGGGCATTGAAAATTTGAAAAACTTGGAGGGGGGGCATCGAAATTTACCGATAACCTCAACAGGGGCCCTGTAAAAATATGAGCTTTTTTCAAGGCATCTTCATCCCCCTCCCTCGGTGTAATAAATGTACTTTCCCTAAAATATCCCGGTCATTAGTGAAACTTATTGATCCACATATGCAGTTAATTAATTACGTGTAATTGTATGGTATTAAACAAAGTAGCAATATCGTGCAACTGGAGATAATAGTACAGCATCTAACCTTGAGTAGGCGCGAATGCATAGCGCATATACTAATACAATACAAATTGTGACTCATGTAGGACAGCAGGAGGGTAACATAAAGTTATATATTACTAGTGTAACAGCAGTAAATTCAAGAACGTTATATTAGGAAAATAAATAAACAATATGGAACGAACTCACTCCGTTTGAGGTCACAGAACGGGGATTACAAGCGGTAGCAATATTCCGGTTCTGGAACACTTCAACACTAGGATCTGTGCATGTGATCTTGTGCATCTCAGGGGAACTGTGCCGTCATGATCTTGCGCATTACTTTTGCCATTTGTTCCAAGATTGGTGGTTGGATCGGAAAGCAAACGTTTCTTCTTTTTTTTTTAATTTCCACTTCTTTGCCAAGGTTTGGTCCCTTAAATTATTAGCCAAAAATTTTGCCAGAGATGTTAACGCACTGGCTAAAGTCTTGCGAATGAGCAGTGCGCGTCGAAACTGCGATCAGAAGGCTCAGATCAAAGGGGGCCATTGTACGTATGCACGTGAAGGAAAAACCTTCAGGATAATTCCTGATTGGTTAATCCTAGTTTGGATCAGTTGTTCACATGCTTAGTAGCGAAAGTTCGATATTTATCTGATATTTTGTAATATTAACAGGACTAGAAAACGGTTTCCTTTTTCTACCGAGGTACTTGGACCTTGTACGTACCTTGTACGGATTAATTGTTGTGAGGTAGATGTGTTGGCAGACTGAAAACACCCCCGGTGAGATAGAGTCTTCTAGAACATATTTCTCCATTAACCGCAATTTATAGCCTTGCTTAAATTGATTATATAAACGAATTGGTTACATTATTTGATATAACACTGATGCTGATCCGTTTATACTACCAAATAGAAATAAACTGAGTTGTCTTCTATATGCCAATGACTTAATTTTATTATCTCGATCAAAATTCGGCCTACAAAAATCTCTAGACGATCTCCATAGTTGGAGTAAAAAATGGCTCATGGAGATAAATTTGAATTAAAAAAACACATTCAAGTAATGATTATTGAAAAAAGAAAAACAAGAAAGGCAAGCCCAAAGTTTAATCTCGGAAATCGGAACATAGCAATCGTACAGGAATACTGTTACCTAGGAGTCAAACTAAATCACAATGGCAATTTCACTTTAGCTCTGAAGCAACTAAGTGAGAAAACCTTGCATGCTTTATATGTTATAAGAAAACAGCTCAACTTCATCCGCCTCAATCCCAAATATGCCATTAAAATATTTGATTATATTATAAGCCCGATCCTACTATACAACTCTCAGTGAAGTATGGGCGACATACATGAACTAGGGATCCAAGGATAGTGCAAAGTTTCAAATTGAAAAGACACTGCAAGTGTATGGGGGCATAAAGTGGAAAACGCGGAATCTCATTAAAATATAGTCTTTGGGCAAAATAAACAATTTTTTGACAGACTCCGCGTTTTCTACTTATGCCCCCATAAAGTGGAAAACGCGGAGTCTCATTAAAATCGAATCTTTAGAAAAAATAAACTGAATGAAAAAAATGTTTTCAAAAAAATGTTTTGAAAGTCTCCGTACTCCGCAATCCATACTCCGCACTCCGTCTTTTCCAAACTGACCTCTGAACTCAATAATCATTTCTATATTTAGAGCTAGAGCAAAACACGCACGTGCTGTGTGTGTGGTTTCAGCAATTCAGCACAGTGATAGGAGTTACAGAGAGTTACAGTCAGCACAGTGATAGGAGTTACAGAGAGTTACAGGCTTCTGTGGCTTCAGTGTACTAGTGTACTGAGTGTAGCCATCTATACCGCCTAAATAATATCGGCACTTAATTGAATGCAGGTAATGCATAACATCAATTTATGTATTTAGAACGGGGCGTACAATCTCAAAGATTTTCTGAATATTCACGTCTGAAATGTTTATAATTATACATTTGTAAACAACACTGTCTCGCTCCCTGCTATATGCAATGAATATACCATCAAAATAATATCGGCACTTGATTATATTAAATGCCCGTAATGCATAAAATCAATTTATATATTGGGTAGAATCTCAAAGATTTTCTCAATATTTACGTCTGAAATGTTTATACATTTGAAAAAAGCGCTGTCTAGCTCCTTCCTATAGCTATAGCTCTGTATAATGAATATACCGCCTAAATAATATCGGTACTTGTTTGAATGCCCGTAATGCATAACATCGGTTTATATATATTGCGTAGATTCTCAAAGATTTACTCAATATTCACGTCTGAAATGTTATAATTATACATTTGAAAACAACACTGTCGCTCCTTCCTAGCTCTGTATAATGAATATACCGCCTAAATAATATCGGTACTTGATTGAATGCCCGTAATGCATAACATCGGTTTATATTATTGCGTAGATGAATATACCGCCTAAATAATATCGGTACTTGTTTGAATGCCCGTAATGCATAACATCGGTTTATATATATTGCGTAGATTCTCAAAGATTTACTCAATATTCACGTCTGAAATGTTATAATTATACATTTGAAAACAACACTGTCGCTCCTTCCTAGCATCGTCACGCCATAGTGATCTACGGCTTGATAGCGCATGCGCATTTGCGCTGTTAAAGAAAAAAATGGGTGTTCCGGGGTAAAGATCCTTTACACAACATGACAAGCGAATGTTATAAAAATTACAAAAAATTACGATAACGACAACGATTCCTCGAAATTTTTTGTGAACTTGGCAAAAGGACAAAAGATTATTTAAATAAGACAACTGAAATTGTTTAAGTAACCTTCAAAGCACTGACTAAATACAATAAATCACTACAAACATAAATCGTATACTCCCCCCGGAAAGTTTACTCTCTGCCTGTATGTTTGAATAGATAGGATAGATATATAGATGTATGAATACATGCCTCGTCTCAATTTGCCACGTAACAGCAATAGTGCAAAGTGAAACTTTGCACTAAAAACGATTTCAACAATTGGGACAAGTTACCAATTGAAAAAGTCCATCTTAAGTTCTGTAAAATATACCTCGCTGTCCGTAGGAAAGCAAGTAACATTGCTTCCAGAACTGAGCTTGGAAAACTCCCTCTTATTATCAATGTATTCAAAAGGGTTTTCAAATACATCACTGACTTAAACTCACTTCCCGAAACAGCCATTGCAAAGCAAGCTTTTCTAATCTCGAAAGATCTCTACTCTAGGCAGAAAACTTCCTTTTACGGAAATGCAATGGATACTATCAAAAATTTAAATCGAAATGAAGAAATCCCTAATCAGGAAGCCGTAACGTCTGAACATATTGAAGCTATTACCAAAACCCTTGAGGAAAAGTGCTTAACATTCTGGAAACATAACACTTGGAAATTCATCCAAATTAACTTTCTATTCAACATTCAAAACGTGCAACCTCGAAAAATACTTAGTACTTGTAATTATATTTAATTTAAAAAGTATTTATATTGCGCTAAAACTATAAATATTCTAATTCTAAAGCGCAGTTTACAACTTAAACATTGTGATCAACTATATAAATAAATAAAAGTATATATGTATAAATATGTGTCTTTTACAGGAGTCCAAAATGGTATATCATAAAATTGCTAAAAACTACAAGTCTTTCTATTAACCAAAAGCCTTTGTGAACAAAAAGGTCTTTAAAAGTTTCTTAAAAGTTGAAACATTGGAAGTTTCTCTTATATTAAGAGGCAAGCTATTCCACACAACAGGACCAGCTTTGACAAAAGCACGGTCTCCAAATGTTTTACAAGTTTTTCTAGGAACAACGAGTAGTTTCTGTCCGCTAGATCTTAAAGGATAAGTTCTCACGTCCTTCAATCGAAACAAGTTCTCAAGGTATGCGGGTGCCTATCGCTGTAGTCGATTAAATTGGTAC